ATTGTTGAAAACACTTTAACTGCATTAAGATTGTGCTAGATTATTAAGAAACCTATTTTTCAATTGAAAGGGCCCGTGCATACATTGTGTACAGTGCCCATAACAAGTATGTATCAAGTTTTAAAAGATAACTGGTTGTTTTTAGATATTTAGTTTGATATGCATTAAGTGTTTTTGAGTATTAATTAAGAAATTATATCTAACATTTAGCTTAACCTTGCACATAGTACAAATGCTGTTAATTAACTCAATTTGTGATAAAAAAAATATCTGATTTTGTTGGTAAAATAAATCTTTGATCTTAAAACATAAAATCATATTTATTATTAATTTTAACTGATTTTGTAACTATAAAGATTATATTAAATAAAACTAGATGAAATATAGAGATGATATTGTTGAAAACACTTTAACTGCATTAAGATTGTGCTAGATTATTAAGAAACCTATTTTTCAATTGAAAGGGCCCGTGCATACATTGTGTACAGTGCCCATAACAAGTATGTATCAAGTTTTAAAAGTATGGATTAAGTTAAGATAAAGTACATATCACTTATTATTTTATTATCAAATATTAAAGTGGAAATTTTTGTAAATATTGATAATGGCTTTTGTGATAATTAATACAATTTTTGATAATTTATATAAATATTATTATTTAAATTATATATAATTCATTTTCAAATATACAGTAATTCGAAATTAATTAAAGATTTTAATATTTTAATCATTTTTATTTGTAAATTTTTAAATAAAAAATAATAACCATTATCAATTACGCAAAAAAGTTTATATTCATTATTTATTGAGTTAGGTGTTATTAATTGATAATTAACCACTTTCACATTGAAATGCGTAAATGGCTACGATAGTATGTACCCAGAATTGTTAAGCAATCATATGATAACTTATTTATTAGATGTTAATTATTTTAACTTGACCTTGTCTAAACTTACCTATATAATAATTTTCTCTTACTATAATTATTATAAATTAATTTTTTTATTTAGTGTTAACTACTTATTACTAACAATATGAAAACTAATATAGGTATTAAAATTAATTATTAATAACAAAATTACTTTTAAAACCTTTTACAACACAATAGTAAATCCTACATAAGTATAAATTTATAATCAATTTTAATTATATTGCTACAGTTATACTCTTGTCGATCGTGACCCTGGTCAATGGGTGTCCACAGTATTGCAACGACATTATAAAAGACGACATTGCACCTTGCACCTGTCAGGATGGGCGTGTAAGGTGTGTGGCCATTAGCGACGTTGACCTGGATAGTGTGTTTAGCTATATAGCCGATGGCATACCGTACGGCACCCGGGAGTACGAGTCGTTTGAATTGGAGAGCAGTTATATAACAACATTAGACACGACTGTATTTCACGGCCTTTTGTTCAAGCAGTTTATATTTACAAGTTGCTCAAATTTGACCTGTATCAGTCCCACAGCTTTTATGGGTCAAAAGTCGACCACCATATTTACGGCTGAAAATACACCATTTTCGTAAGTAGTAATATACAAAAACATACTTTTTTTAATCAGGGCCCTTATAGTAATGAGTACAATAATTGATCGTCAACGTGCATAAAAGGGTTATCTATTTTTCAATTCAAACTGAATACATAACATAATCATTGCATTTATAGTATCTAATAATGTTTATTACTTTGAGTAATGCAATGATTATGTTATGTATACAGTGAATTTAAAAATAGATAACCCTTTTAAGCACCCAGTGGATCAATTGATGAAATGAATAAAAAAATTTGTTCACAGTATAACTTGGATCAAACGGTATAGAAAAGTTTAGAGTATTAGGTAAATAACTAATTTATAAATATGCAAGAAAAAACCGTAATTAATTTAAAAAGTCCTTAAATATTAATCTCAATATTTTATATTTATTATGGTTCACATTTATTAATGTAATATTCGGAAATATAGCCATTAAGTGGTACATTATATGCTGAAAACGGACATTTATTTTGCACACCAAGCTGCATACATAACCTAATAAATGTTTTAAATAGTACCACAAAGTGTATATTACTTTAATAAGTAATTTAAACAACATTAAATGTTTATAATTTGAATAATAATTTATTAATTTTAATTAATTTTAATTACCTGAATGAATGATATTTATAATAATTTGCTTAAATTATATTTTTAAAATATACCATATTTAGCATAAAAATAAATGTCCATTTTCTGAACGAAACGCACTAATTGTTAATAATAATAAATATTTAAAATAAACATTAGTATTTACTGACAATTAAAACATGTTTATAAATAACTGATTTTAGCAGTACATTTAATATTATTTTTCGTTATAATTTATATGAATAGGTCCCCGGTGAACGCCACGTGCGACTTGTTCAGTGCATTGAGTACATTGACAAATGTGAACCAGATCAATATAGTGAACCATCGAATACCTATCATACCGAACAATGCGTTCAACGATAAGATGGGAGTATTGGAGAACCTAAGGACCATTGACTTGCATGGCTCGACCGGATCAAATGGGACCATAATCGCTGTGGGCACAAATGCTTTCTCAACACTTAAAAGTATGTACAAATACACATATTTTTAATATACAGTACACTTTATTCATATAAAGTATAAAGCACTTGGCTTGGTTAGGTAAATTTTAAATAGTACAACTTAGCAGTCATTGTGGTGGGATAAGGTGTTGAGTTTTCATGTTACATATACTCCCATATACCTTGACTAATTATTATAAAAAATATGTTAAACCTAATTTAATTATAATAAAGCAAATAAGAAAAAAGCTTTTAATCATATTAACTATAATTATGCTACTTTAATAAATTATTATTTTTAAATAATCAAATATTGATTTTTAAAATGATATCCAATCAGATTTGAACAAGCTGGACTTATCTAACCAGATAATTGTCGCTATCAATGACTCGGCCTTCCAGTTCCCGCGAGCCAATTGGGATCGCATAACAATCAACCTTGAGCATAATAGATTAAACGGTAGTAGGTTCGGGTCCCACGTATTTCCAACGAATAAAGTGACCACGCTCATGTTGGCCGGCAATATGAACCTGACGTACTTACCGGACGGCGCTTTCTACGACTTTTTTGAGGAGAGGGGTCACGACAGGAATACTTGCAATATGTCTGGCATTCAGATGGAAATTGACCGGCTCAATTTGTGGCTCGTGGACAATAAAGTGACCATGAAGCTAGATCAGAAATTATTGGAAGCTATGGGAAAGGACGGGACGGCACTCCTAAAGCATACCCACAAACAGATGGATGTGGCGCCGCCCGGAGCCAACGCGGTGTACAATCACACGATAATATTACATGATTTTGAATGAATTGCCTATAATTTAAAAATTTATTATTTTTTGTTTTATGTATTGTAATAAACATTTAAATTATAATGTTTAAAAATAGTATTAAGCAATATTTGTTTTGAATGTATTTTTAAAATAAAACAAATGTGTATTTTATATGATTGATGTCATAATACAAAATAAAATAATTAATATTACGGTAAATGAAAAATAAATTAAGAATTTTCAAAATTATTTAACAGTAAAATGATCTTTATAAATTAACCTTTATTTCTAAACTATAATATTTAACATTATGAGATAGGCTTTCTGTAAGACAAAGGTATAATATTTCTGATTACATAAACTTAAGTCACCTATCACACATTCATAAGATTAATACACTTACCTATAGTTTATAACAAAATATAATTAATTTGTGTGCGTAATATTTTATGTATTTATATCAATTAATAAATTAATAAATTAAAGATTATTTGATGAAATGCATTAATAAATTTGATAAGTACCCGGAATAATTAAATACATATTAGATGTGCAGTTAATGTTTATACCTATAAAAATAAAGATTTTGAATTGGAGATATTTTATTAATGTTACAAATACCATATTATAGTTTTATACATTAATAACAAAATATAAATATTACAGCAGGTATTTAAAATAAAGATTTTAACTTTGTCATATTATTAATGTCAAAAATAAAATCAATTAAACTTACATTTCAAATTTATTATATAAACTGCAATTTTTTAGGGAATCTATAAATGGATTTACCTATAAGATAAATAAATATAAAGTGTTTGACAAAAGGGTGTTTACTCGTTTATTTAGCTTTAAAAATCGTAGAATTGTGCTAGAATAAAATAAAAAATTTTGCAACTATTGTTTTTTGGCACCAATCTATCGGTATGTCCAATTTTATCCAGACATAAGAGGAAGGGTAGATATGCCTGTCCATCAATAACTCAAAAACTATAAGATGTAGCTAAGTTTTGATTTTTGCAAATTGTGCGCATGGTCAATATGAAAAAACTTAATAAAAACTTATGAATAATTTCTGGATTTTGAGAAATGTCTTGTTGATTTTTAAAAATCCTTTATTTGTGAAATTGTGATGATTTGAATTTTATTAATCTCAGCAACGGCTCAGTGGATAATTATATTAAGTTTTATTATTAATTTAATTTATACAAATCAAATGAAATGTTTAAGTTTTAAAATCTATTATGAAAATAAGTTAATGATATAATTACTTAAATATACTGTATTACATAAAATGAAATTTAATACCTAATGAAATTATATATGCAATAAAAACATTAAATATTATTAAAATTATTTAAGTAATTTATATGAAATTATATACTGTATGTTAGATAAATAATATATAAATTAGCTAGCTAGATTAATATTTAAAAATTTTATTATAATTAAAAGACGTCCCAGTTTATCATTGTGAAAGCGATTCATGATATGAGTGATGCGTTGGATAGCCCCCACTGACCCCACCAAACCCCCAAATATTTTGAAAATTGATGCGTACAATTTTGCACAATGCTACTTTAAAAAGTCAAAAATCACAAAATTTAACATTACGTCTATGTAAATGAATAAATTAATTTAGACCCCGCCCGCACCTCCTAAAATTCTGT